CATCAATTTCAGCTTCTCAACGAAGTGTTGTCGGACTTTGAACGACGAACGACGTCGTGCATCGGCCAACACCGCTATGTGGGGAGGTGCAGGAACTCCTAATCCTTTACCCTGGTCACAAGGCATGGCGAAGGAGTTAAGCCTTGACCTGGACCTGTGGGTGGAGGCGCTTTTCCTCGAAAGGAGAAGCGGCCTCGGTTCCGAGGCGAAGTTCTTTACTTTCTCTCTTTTTACTTAATCAAAAGCCTCCCTCGCTACTCGAGGGAGGATGCCAAGGAGCCGGCTTAAGGAAGCTGGGGCAGCCTTGGCCTACGTTGGCTGGGCCAACGGGATTCTAACTACTTGGTAACTTATATGCGGCCGACAGGAGAACGACAAGACATTCCAGTAGGATTCAAATGCAAGGATGATAAAGTGAGGAGTGGACAAGGAGCAAACTTGATGAAGCTCTGCCTGCCAGTAAGACACGATGATCTTGATGACGAGAGCAAGTTTACTCCACCATGAAATTCATGACTCGTTGAAGCTCACATTTCCTGTCATTCCTATGCAGCAACTCCCCTATTTTTCTTCCCTAATGATACAGCTGAGTGATATTTTTTTGTCTAAACTCTGACCCCAAATTTCCTTATCTTTTGTCCAAAATGTGAATTTCTCAGCATGTTAAGTTTCCCATGGACCAACTGGGATTATTTGTCATTTCTTATCTGTGAAATAGTCCACCAAATGTTTACTGAAAGTGGAGATGATGAAATGATTACAGCCAATCCAGCCGCAGAAGAGATTCTGCAGCTGGCAAGAAAATAATTTTGAGTAATTACTTCTCATAAATGTCTCTTTCCTCAAAACTGGTAAGAATTCTACTTGCAGCTGCACAGGAACTTGAAGGATAATGCGCCCCCAACAATTCATGTTGAATGACGAACGCGCAAATGTTTGATTGTTTAATTTGTTTTACTTTATTAAAATGAATGCCGGCTACTCCGCCCGACACCTGCAAACGGGCCTCGCCCGTCAAACGAAATGGGAAATTCTTCAGGCATCGAGGTTCTTTGCATAAAAATGACGATATGTAGCTGTC